TTAATCAATCATAGGAGTGGCGTGAGTTACACTAGCTGTATATTATGATTAGTTCAGGTCGACTTTGCACCGGAGCCATGCGAGATCCGATCTGTTATCCAGATACAGAAGCCACTTGATGTGGACAGATGTAAACACACTGTGTCCTGATTGGCTTATGAGTCGATCTGCTTGATTGGATCACGGGGTAACACTTTACTATACGGGTGCACTAATATGCATTAATTCATGCTTAACTAATGAGTTTATTTATAACTCATGAAGAACTAAACCATTAATTAATGATTACAGCATCAGGAACTAATAAAGTGTTCCTTAATGTGATTAATAGATTAAGTAATACATTAATTGCTATTAATTCAATGTGTCGTTGTGGATTAATTCCTCAGTAACATATTTTATGAACTAATAGTGTAAATTAATGTGTTAATTACCACAATTAGTCAAAGCTATGCACTTAAACTTCCAGTTGTCTGATTTAATGAATCATTAGCTAATGATTGGTGGTATCATTATGTTATGACTTTACTTGTTGGGGCACATCATTATTAACTAGTCATTTAGTAATTGTAGTAATTTACACATGAATTTGCACTAACAATGAAGTAATTAATCATGTATTAATGCATATTAGTGTACCTGTCATATTATCTGGAAGTTGAAATACAAGGCTTTGGCTCATTCTGGTAATTAACATATTAATTAACAATATTAGTTAAAAAAATCCACAATTACATACAGTATTTAATTAATAACAATTCATGTATGAACTAATACATTAACCTTACAGACTCTTAATTAGTTCCTAATGGGGTAATCATTAATGAATAGCTTAAATAATCTTTAATAATCTTGAATTTACACCAAAGTTAAGATTTTTCAACTCGGGCGGCAGACGCGAATTCGCGTCAAACGTGTGAATGCACAAATAGCACTAACCTTTCGGGATTTATGGAAAGGTCCACCGGAGGAAAATAGGGGAGAGTCATGTCTTTTTATTCTTTGATGAGGGGAGGGTCAACCAACTTTTTTTAGTCTATAGGGGAGGGTCACCCAACTTTTGTATTCATCAAAACAGGTCAATTTCAAAGTGGCTTGTTTGGTGCATATTTTTTCTATGTAGCTCTCTCGGTCTCGGCCCCCGGGCCATCGCTGTCAGATGGGTCTGACCCAAACAAAATCTGAGTGGCGCTGTTTGACAGTCTGCGCGCGCTTCAGTACGCCCTCAGAAAAAGTGCATTAGAACAGAATGGCAAATAAATGTTTACCCGGCAAAGCTTTAAAGCATGAGTAAATAATGAACTTTTGTTAATGTGAATAAGTGTCCTGTGTGTGTAACTCTACCGCTGCATTAACCGCTGCGGTTGTGAACAAAAAGTATTCTCGTCGCTTGATAAACTAAAGATTGAGCCACTGTCGTCAATTTACTAATTTAACTTTTCTGCTCAGGTATAACCAGTCACTTTCCAGATCACACACCATTTTTTTGTTTTTTTTTTGCTTTTTTTTTACTTGTTCTGGACAAGTGGACAAGCATTAATGTCAACCCCTGATGATTCAGTGTTAATCTATCATAGGAGTGCCATGAGTTACACTAGCTGTATATTATGATTATTTCGCATCAGACAACAGACCGTACAAGACCAGTTATATGTGTCAAAACTAACTGACAAATCTGACTAAAGAGCTTTTTATGTAGATAATATCAGTGTGTGAGAGCCAGTGCAAACCACTGAAGCGAGAGTGATGATGTGTGCCAGTGGTCATGTGATCATGAACCTTGTGTAGGAGCTGTTGCTGTAGTTCTGCTTGATGTCTTCTCAGAGTTTGATCTGCTGACTGGAGTCAGTGTTGTTGAAGAGACTGGAGCTGCAGAAGATGAATGTTCACACACATCACCTGTAGGACATTAACATCATATCTTCACATTGATCATGACATGCAGTTTGTGTTCAATCATCCAGACTGATCTCATGAAGTAGCGTGTGTATGACACGCCAATTCGTATTTCCATTTAGGCGTGCTATCAAGACGCATAATCGCCTTTCAGTGAGTTTATGAACGCCGTTGACTTACCGTTATATAAATATATGACTTACCTCAACCCCGTCCCTAAACTTAACCGTCACTGGGGTTAATGGCATTTATGACTGGAGATTTGACTGCGTGTTCAGACACGCGGAATGAAGCGGACGTTAATGGCGTAGACATATACGCATACACGCGGATAGCTCAAAATGTGTAGAGATAACACGCCACCTGACTCGAAAGTGGCGTATATGTTTACGTAAAAGTCATGATGTCATGTTCAATCATCACAGCTTACAGTGGCAGTAGTTGAGAAGAGAGATGTTACTGGATCATTTATTCCTGCTTTATATGAGAGTGAAACACAGTTGAGCTGCTTCCCATAAACCTTCAGCTTTCCTGAATGAAGGACATTATTAAGCCGTATAACTCCTAAAGCTGACCTCCTACATGGGTCATACTAGGCTTTAATAGATTTATGCAATATTTCATGGATGACCCATGTAGGAGGTTAATATTGGGAATTATAAGGATTTTTATGCAGTGTGACTTATTGTCCTCTAATATTTTACAATTTCCAAACGTATGAAGTCATCATAAAGAGTAGAGCCAGTCTGTGGAAGTTTTCTCAAATCTGTCTTCTAACAGTGTTTCTCACCTGAATACTTGACAGTGTATGTGACTGAGGTCTGGAGTTGATTTCTGAGAGTAAGCTGACATCTCCACTGTCTGTTGTCATCTTCATTCAGGAGTGTTGTAGTCAGAGTGATGATACAGCGATACTGATCTGATGATGATGATGATATCTGATATCTGGAGTCTGTCTTCAGATCAACACCAGCCTGATTCACCCACAACAGCTCAAATCCCTCATAACGAACCCAATAATCACAGGAGAATCCATCATATGAATACAACTGACAGGAGAGAGTCACAGAGCGGCCTGGACTGATCTCAGTCTGTGAGGATGAAGATGATGATGATGGAGACACTGAAACTGAACACAAGACACAAATCACAGACTCTTCAATCATCATCTGAGTTTAATAAAGAATCTGCCCTTTTTAAACTGACCATATAATCATAAACTTACCATGAAGAACATGCAGATAAACAGGTGCATCAGTTCCTGGTTGGTGTTGTTGTCCGTTCACATATTGTCTGCAGCTGTATAATCCATAATCTTCTTCTGTGACGTTCTTGATGTTCAGAGAGCAGTCAGACTCCAGACTCAGTCTCTCATGTCTCTCTGTGTCTTTCTTTATCCCTAAATTAATCAGTTCAACTGCTGCTGAACCTCTGAATCTGCTGTAGTTCCATGTAGTTGATTTGCAGTCAGAAAGAGTTTTATTACAGGACAGACGGACATCTACACCAGAACTGATGAACACATGATGATCATCCACTCCACTGGTGCCTGAAACACAGTAGATCTCAGTGATCATTATGATATTTATTAATAAATTAATACATTCATTAATGCATAACAAGCAGAAGATTATCATCATACAGTATTTTTCCGGTAAGGCTTTACAATAAGGGTTTATGAATAATCATGTACTAATACCTGAATTAATACTGAATAACTAATGATAATTAAAAGCAGAGGTGTAAAGTCCAGGTTCAGAAAGTAAAAGTCCTCCTCAGTATTTTATTAAATCACCTGCATTTGCTCATTATCAGCGCTGCACAATATATCGAAATATCGCAAATGTATTTATCACAATATGCATATCGCAACAGCTTGCAATAACTGAGGTCATGCGCAAAAGACAAAGAGAAAATCACTCACTGCTGTTGGCTGAATAACTTCTGTAGTTTTGATAAGATGTTATATAAATAATTTTTATTAAAAAATATTATATATTATATTTTAATTCTATTTATATAAGTAATTCATACAGTGAAAACTACACACTTATGCCACAGTAAAACATTTTCACAGTTTATTGTCACAAAAAGAAACGTGTGTTATATAATTTAAAGGGGTGGTAAAGTATGATTTCACTTTTCTAACTTTAGTTGGTGTGTAATGTTCGAGCATAAACAACAGTATCAAAGTTACAACGCTCAAAGTTCAAGCAAAGGAAGATATTTGCTTTTAAAAAAAGACAACAACAAACGGCTGGTAGGGATTACACGAATTTCCTCCAGGGTTAGTGACATCAGCAACCCCAAAATGTCCATAAACCCTTCACGGGAGCTCTTGAAACCCCGCCTCCTGAAGCAGCTCATGTGCATTTAAAGGGCCAGACAAAAAACTGTGCATTTTTGCAAACCCTCAAAAAGTGACAACTTTAACATGCTGTATAAAAATATCTGTGGGGTATTTTGTGCTAAAGGGCGCTATTGGTCTTCACTGCATGACGTCACCAAAGTGTGGACTTTGAGTAAGTCCACAATCCGGAGTGTGTCATTTGCGACACAGCCTTATAGCTGGAGTCAGAGGCCACAAACTCACGGAGGCGATCGGGAATTCACAACTCACTCTTTATTCCCCAGTTGATCTCCTGTAACTCTCTGTCAGACACGTTTGACCGTATACAGCGTTATTAACTAAACAAAATGACTTAAAAATGATTATCAGACAGAAATAACCCGCATGGTGTGATCGAGGCGCACTTACAAAGCAGACCGTTCAACCTGCAGCGCGCAGCTCTTAAAGGGGCCACACCTTATTTCTACTCGCTACATAAAAAGGCAGTTTGATTCAGTAGTGCGGGAAGATGGTTTAGTTTAGGGGTGCTGTTTTTTTAGGTCACCACTTGTAAATAAGAAACAACATCAAATAAAACTCGTCAAAACAACACGAATTACAACAAGTGTATCGGTGAGAACTAAATGCTTCAAATAGCTACATGTAAATTAAATGAAAATTGAAAACGGTTATTCCCGTGTGCCTGGTTTGATTATGTTTATCCATAAATGTTAATGAATGCATTAATTATCAAACATGTAGTGAATTTGTGATGGATTTAGAGAGGACTCAGAAGCGAGGATGACAATCACAGCTCCTTTAATAACAAATGGCAGGATGACCACAGGTACGTGTAACAGAGGAATTATATTTAACAGCAACAGAAGGTTCCTGTAGAACAGGCAGTCGAACTTGAACAGAAACTCCCTCTGTGGTCCAGGCAAAGATGAGCAGAGAGCTGGAGCAGTAGGGACCCAGAAACCCTCAGGGCCGGGATAGCGAGCAATGAAGAAGGAACACAGCCTCAGACTCCTAGCAGGTATGGTTCTGGAAGTATATCGCATGGACACAGAATAATACTCGAAGTAATCAGAGATATGTTATTAGACAGGACTGGACTGGACTCAGACAGATGCACGCATCGAAACTTACGAACAAACTGACAACAAGACAAGGAAGAGAAGGTAAGAAAAAGCCAAGATAATGAGGGGGGGAACGAGAGACAGGTGAAGAGAGATGAGCCTAATGAAAAGTGATAACAGCTGTCAGTAATGAAAGTGAAAGCGGCAAGTGAGTGAGTGAACGAATAACCAGCAGGGGGAGACAGAGAACGAGCCAGGATCATGACAGTACCCCCTCCTCAAAGAGCGCCACCTGGCGCTCCCTAGGAGGAACCCTGGCGAGACCGGAGGAAATCATCAATGAGCGAGGGGTCCAGGATGTCCCGGGGGGAAACCCAGCTTCTCTCCTCAGGCCCGTACCCCTCCCAATCGACCAGGTACTGATGTCCTCGACCCCGACGACGCATATCCAAGATCTTACGGACAGTATAGACAGGAGAATCCTCCACACGGACTGCCGAGAACGCGGTACGAGAAGTCGAGCGATTGACGGGCTTAACGCAGGAGACGTGGAAAACCGGGTGGATACGACGAAGGTTGGGAGGTAAATGAAGCTTGACGGCGACAGGATTAATAATCTTGACTATACGGAATGGCCCGATAAAACGGGGAGCCAACTTGCGAGAGTCGGACTGAAGAGGTAAATTGGAAGTGGAGAGCCACACTCTCTGGCCAACACAATAGCGGGGACTCTTAATGCGATACTTATTAGCCGAGATGCTCATACGTCTCCTAGCACGACAAAGGGACGATCTCACTCTCCTCCAAGTACGCTTGCAGCGACTGATGAACGTCTGAACGGAGGGACAGTTCGACTCTGTCTCTTGCGAGGGAAAAAGCGGAGGTTGGTAGCCGAGACAACAGTGAAAGGGTGAGAGCCCCGTGGCAGAAGATGGGAGAGAGTTGTGTGAGTATTCTGCCCAGGGAAGCTGCTCAGCCCAAGACGCAGGATTACGGAACGCCAGACTGCGGAGAATGCGGGCCACAATCTGATTGGCACGTTCGGCCTGACCGTTAGTCTGGGGATGAAACCCTGAAGAGAGGCTGATGGTGGCACCAATAAGACGACAAAATTCTTTCCAGAATTGTGATGAGAATTGCGGGCCCCTATCAGAAACGACGTCGGTGGGCAAACCGTGCAATCTGAAAACATGATTAACCATTATCTGGGCGGTCTCCTTGGCAGAGGGAAGCTTGGCGAGAGGAATGAAGTGCGCGGACTTCGAAAAACGGTCGACCACAGTAAGAATGACGGTATTACCGGCCGACGCAGGGAGACCCGTGATAAAGTCGAGCGCTATATGAGACCACGGACGAGTAGGAACTGGTAGCGGGCGTAACAGACCAGCGGGCGGAGAATTACCAGCCTTGGTCTGGGCACAGACAGAACAAGAAGCGATAAAGCGACGCGCGTCATGAACTAAGGTGGGCCACCAAAAGCGTTGGCGAATAAGCGCGATAGTGCCCCGAACGCCGGGATGGGCTGACAATTTGGAAGAATGTCCCCACTGGAGGACGGCTAGGCGAGTGGGCACCGGAACGAATAAGGAGCCTCTAGGGCAGTCGCGCGGAGTGACGGCATGGGCAAGAGCACGCTTCACCTGTCTCTCGATTCCCCAAATCGCCGCTCCCACCACACGACCAGGAGGAATAATCTCCTCCCGGGTGGAAGAAGAGGAGGAGGAACCAAAGAGGCGAGACAGCGCGTCCGGTTTAACATTCTTGGACCCGGGCCGATAAGAGATGGAGAAGTCGAAGCGCGTAAAAAACAGCGACCAGCGAGCCTGGCGTGCGTTCAGTCTCTTTGCGGAACGGATGTATTCCAAATTTCGATGGTCGGTCCAGACGACAAAAGGAACGGAGGAACCCTCCAACCACTGGCGCCACTCGCCTAAAGCCAGGCGAATGGCGAGCAGTTCCCGATTGCCGACATCGTAATTACGTTCCGCGGAAGACAGACGGTGCGAAAAAAAAGCGCAAGGATGTACCTTGTTATCGGAGGCTGACCGCTGAGAAAGAACGGCGCCTACCCCTACCTCCGACGCGTCGACCTCGACAATAAACTGTCTAGTGATATCCGGCATGATCAGAATGGGTGCGGTGGTAAAGAGAACCTTTAGACGGTCAAAAGCCTCTTGAGCGGATTCTGACCACCTAAAACAGGACTTAACTGAGGTCAGGGCGGTGAGCGGCGCGGCTACTTGACTGAAATTGCGTATAAAGCGGCGATAAAAATTAGCAAAACCAAGAAAGCGCTGTAACGCGACACGAGAATCAGGAACGGGCCAGTCAACTACCGCCTGGACCTTAGACGAATCCATACTGATTCCCTCAGCCGAGATGACCGAACCTAAGAATGTAACGGAAGGCACGTGAAAAGAGCATTTCTCAGCCTTTACAAAGAGGCGATTCTCGAGTAAGCGCTGAAGTACGCGGCGTACATGCTGCACATGGACTTGGAGGGAGGGTGAGAAAATCAATATGTCATCGAGATATACAAACACGAACACGTTTAGCATATCCCGAAGGACATCGTTGACAAGGGCTTGAAAGACGGCGGGGGCGTTGACCAAACCGAACGGAAGGACCCGGTATTCAAAGTGCCCGAGGGGTGTATTAAAAGCGGTCTTCCACTCGTCCCCTTCTTTAATTCGTACGAGATGGTAAGCATTGCGAAGATCAAGCTTAGAAAAATCGTTGCTCCCTGCAGGATCTCGAAAGCTGAAGACATCAGTGGTAAGGGATAGCGGTTCTTAACCGTGATGTCATTCAGCCCCGATAATCTATACAGGGACGCAAAGAGCCGTCTTTTTTCTTGACGAAGAAAAAACCCGCACCGGCCGGAGACGAGGACGGGACAATAGTGCCAGCCCTGAGAGAGTCAGACAAATAATTCTCTAACGCCTCCCGTTCAGGAACCGAGAGAGAATAAAGTCTTCCCCGAGGGGGCGTGGTACCCGGAGAAGCTCAATACCACAATCGTAGGGGCGGTGAGGAGGGAGAGAAGTGGCCCGGGAACGACTGAATACCTCCCGCAAATCGTGATACTCCTCCGGTACTCCAGACAAATCCCCTGCCTCTTCCTGAAACACAGAAACAGAAGACACAGGAGGAACAGCAGACACAAGACAATCAACATGACACGATAACTTCCAAGACAAGATAGAGCCAAGGGACCAATCGATATGGGGATTATGACGTTTAAGCCAGGGATGACCTAATACTACTGGAGTAAAGGGCGAACGAAAAACAAGAAAAGAAATAGTCTCTCGATGATTACCAGAAACGGTAAGAGTCAGTGGAACGGTCTCACTTAGAACCCTAGGTAGGGAACTACCGTCTAGGGCGAAAAGGGAGGTTGAATGCTTTAAATAGGTGAGGGGAATACCCTGCTGCCGGGCCCACTCCTCATCCACGAAATTTCCCTCGGCCCCAGAGTCGATCATGGCAGAGCAGGAGACAGAGGAACTGGACCACTGAAGATGCACAGGTAGAGTAGTGCAAGAGTCTGAAGGGATCTCTCTAGAGATTGCGCTCGCCAGTAACCCTCCGCCTACTGACGAGCGCTGGCTTTTACTGGGCACGACAAAGCAAAGTGGTCGGGAGCAGCACAGTACATACAAAGTCGATTAACCAGTCTCCTCTCCCGTTCCTTAGGGGAGATTCGCAGACCTCCAAGCTGCATGGACTCGGGATCCGGACTCGGAGAGGGTATAACGGAACCAGCAGTAGGCGTGGCCCCCAGGACAGACTCCATGCGGCGAGCTCGGCGTCGTAAGTCGAATCTCTTCTCCACTCGAATCGCCAGTTGAATGAGCTCGTCGATCCGAGCGGGGACCTCTCGGATAAGGATCTCCTCTCTCAGCTCGGAGTTGAGACCCTCCAGAAAACGAGCGACCAACGCGGGTTGGTTCCAGCCACAGGTGGTAGCTAGAGTCTGAAATTCTATGGAGAAATCAGAAACCGAGCGCCTCCCCTGCCGGAGAGAAGACAGCAACCGCGAAGCCTCCTCTCCGTGAGCAGAACGGTCGAAAACCCGGATCATCTCGTCCTTAAACAGTGCGAAACTGAAGACGCAATCCCTCTCCGCCTCCCAGTTAGCCGCTGCCCATTCCCGTGCCCGGCCGGCGAGAAGGGAGATAACGTACGCCACCTTAGTGCGTTCCTTCGCGTACGTCAATGGTTGCAGGGAGAATATTACCTCACATTGGGTCAGAAACGACCGACACTGTGTGGCCTCACCCAGGTACATGGGCGGATTATTTATCCGGGGCTCCGGAGAGTCATGAGACCCCAGCGAGGAGGGAGGCTGGAGACGCAAGTTGTGGACCTGACAGGAAAGATCCGTCATCTGGGCGGCCAAAGTCTCGACCGCGTGTCTGGCTGCGGAGATGTCCTCCTCATGCTTGCCCAGGAGAACACCCTGATGTTTGACAGCGGACTGGAACGCGTTGCCATTCGCTGAGTCCATTCTTGGGTCAGTTTGTTCTGTGATGGATTTAGAGAGGACTCAGAAGCGAGGATGACAATCACAGCTCCTTTAATAACAAATGGCAGGATGACCACAGGTACGTGTAACAGAGGAATTATATTTAACAGCAACAGAAGGTTCCTGTAGAACAGGCAGTCGAACTTGAACAGAAACTCCCTCTGTGGTCCAGGCAAAGATGAGCAGAGAGCTGGAGCAGTAGGGACCCAGAAACCCTCAGGGCCGGGATAGCGAGCAATGAAGAAGGAACACAGCCTCAGACTCCTAGCAGGTATGGTTCTGGAAGTATATCGCATGGACACAGAATAATACTCGAAGTAATCAGAGATATGTTATTAGACAGGACTGGACTGGACTCAGACAGATGCACGCATCGAAACTTACGAACAAACTGACAACAAGACAAGGAAGAGAAGGTAAGAAAAAGCCAAGATAATGAGGGGGGGAACGAGAGACAGGTGAAGAGAGATGAGCCTAATGAAAAGTGATAACAGCTGTCAGTAATGAAAGTGAAAGCGGCAAGTGAGTGAGTGAACGAATAACCAGCAGGGGGAGACAGAGAACGAGCCAGGATCATGACAGAATTATGCCGTTATTGATGTGTGAATCCATAATGACTCCAGTCGTAGTTCAGGATAACTCTCCATTGGTTCATGATTAGGTCGTGCCTTCAATAATATGATTATTCATTTACCCTTATTGCAAAGTGTTACCGCTTTTTCTTCACTTAAAGTAAACAACACACTCTCCATAATAAACTATGAGTGTTTATCAGAGAGCTGTTCAAATCACTGACACACACTTAATATGAAGATCATTCTTCATCATCAGATGTTTGAGTGACACTATGTCCAGTATCAGGAATAATACAGTATGATCTGTGTGTATCAATACACAACTCTGAGATCACAACGTGAATGTGTGCAAGAATAAACTGAGCATGTTCAAATCAACTCTTTCCAGACTAATTCCACTAAATGTGTTTAGAGAAAATACAGATTTCTTTACCTGTGAGAAGTGAAGAGAGAATGATCAGTCCCAGCAGACACAGATCACACTGATCAGACATTTCTGCTTCTGTCCGTTTCTGTCCGTCTTCCTCTTTATTATATATAGTTACAGCTCCTCCTTTAATCATCAGCTCCTCCTCTTCATTTATATATAGTTACAGCTCTTCCTTTAAACATCATCAGCTCCTCCTCTGGTTGGTAACTTCCTCTAACTATGTTTCCATCACCCTGTTTTTATGTGCATTTTGAAGTATCGCACCAGAAACGAGTGATGGAAACCCCAAATTTTACAGAGAAAACAATTTCATCAAAATGAAATATAGTTGGTTTTAGTTCACCCAATACAGTGTCCTCTTTATAAATATAAATTAAATATTTTTTTATTTACACAATCGTTTGGCATAACATCAGATATTGTGTTGCTTGTTCGGTTTAATTTACCATCAAAAGCACTTTTTCGAGCATTTCGGTCACACTTTTTTATTAAGTGACTTAACAACTATGTGCTAACATTGAAATTAGTCATTTGACACACTGGACTTATCGTGTCCATACATGTTTTACATTGTACTTATATTTTGAAAGTACCTGCATGTAATTGTGCTGTAATTAATGTATGTAATTGCAATTGTAGTTACACTGTTGAGCCATTCCTTACTAACCCAACCTTAAACCCAGTCATACCACACACACCTGACCCTAACCTCACCCGCATCACACCTCAAGAGCAGATAGTGTTTTACAATAGCCTACAACATGAACACAATAATAACTGCTACTATGTTCAAAGTCTGTGTACACGCTTGTGTGTGTGTGTGTGAGAGAGAGAGAGAGAGAGAGAGACATAGAGTAAGACAGAGAGAGAGAGAGATTTCCGGTCCACAAATCCCCTATTCCTCTATTCCCCGCGTCCTCACGCTGCAAAGAATGACGATCCTGGAGTGGCCTAGATCTGGATTAAAGACAACGGCCACACATGGACCATAACTGGCTGAGAGGAGGCCGTGTGTGTGTGTGTGTGTGTGTGTATTTGCTAGAATATGTCATCATAACCTTCCTCTGATTGGGTAAGAAAAACATTTCTCCATCTGCAATTTTTCCATTGGTTGTTCCTCGCGGAATCTGCCCAACAACACCGATTTCATTGGCCTTTTACGTAGTGGTATAGTGCAACTGGGACGTGTGTATATTCACAAGCCGGGTAAGTTATCACTGTTTTCAGCGGAATCTGAGGAAGACCGCACCTCTCTATCATTAATACTTTTTAAGATAGTTACACATTTGTAAAAGTATACCATTTTGGGCGGTACCGGCCAATCCATCCCCAGAGGGTTAAGCATACCCAAGCAGCGGTCTCGAACCCAGAGGCTGCCCTAACTGTCCTGGTCTCCCTACTAAGATCCGTGAAAGGAGACTTACAGTGTCAATATCAGGAAACAAGGACCCTTCCCCTCTCAGACTCAGCCCAGAGAGGAGCCAATTACCGGAGCCAGATTATGGGTGGAATAATCTCCCTCTCTTTAGAGATGCCCTCGCGGGTATAGCGGAGGAAGATGATGATGGAGATGAGGAGTTATCCCCTCATCTTCCAGACGACGATGAAAAGGAAGAGGATTTCAGCATCTGCGTTTCAAAAGATCTACAAATCCACTGCTTTGGCCGTCAGGCCGTCTTTCTGATAAGGGAGTTTCTGGACGCATCACTTACAGATTGGGGGGCGTTCGAGGGCAGAACCGTGCGGGTAGTGTGGTCACAATCTCAAAGGGCAACATGACATCATGACTTTTGCGTAAACATACACGCCAATTTCGAGTCAGGTGGCGTGTTATCTCGACGCATTTTGAGCTATCCGCGTGTATGCGTGTTTGTCTACGCCATTAACGTCCGCGTCATTCCGCGTGTCCGTACACGCCGTCAAATGTCCGACCAAAGCAAAGCAAAATGTAGATCTACATCTGGGGAGCAATGTTTCTAGGATGGTAAGGGAACAGTCATAAATGCCATTAACCCCAGTGACGGTTAGGTTTAGGGACGGGGTTGAGGTAAGTCATATATATATATAACGTTAAGTCAACGGCGTTCATAAACACGCTGAAAAGCGATTATGCGTGTTGATAGCACGCCAAAAATGGAAATACGAATTGGCGTGTCATACACACGCTACTTCATGAGATCAGTCTGCAAAGGGAGAAACACATAAATTACTTGGAGTGATTAACAGTGTTGCTAGCGCTAATCCACTTTATTCAGTTCCTTCAGGGATATCATGTTTTGGTCAGATCAGACAACACAACAGTGGTAGCGTACATAAACAGACAAGGGGGAGCGTACATAAACACACAGTCTAGCACAGAGACTAAAGCCCAATCTACACTTCTGCGTCAAACTCATGCCGTAGCTACGTCGTATGCTGTGTTTAGCACGTACCCTTCGGCGTACCCTGACGTGCACCTCTCAAAAAATGTAATAACGCATCAATTCTAAGCGGATGCGAGTGCTGTGATTGATCCGCTGGAACCCCTCCCCCTCTGGTGCTCCCTCTGCATGTGTAATTGACCTATGGCTAAGCCACGCCCCCTCCAATCACTCAGACAAATAGTCAACATTCGGGAACAGGCGCTATGGCAGCGGTCACAGTAGGAGACATTTCACAGGAGGCAATTGGTGATTTTTGGAAGATTTCGAAGTCACCTAAAGGGCCTTAACTATGCATCGGAGGGTTATAATAATAATTTTATTGTTGAGAAGGTCGATGAAAAGCTTCAGCTCGAGGCAGAAACGTACAGGTCACAGTGTAAACGTGATAAACCGCATATCGTTGCCATCACCGTTTAGTGCTACAGTACATCAATCATTCAGCACAACATTGCTAACATTTGTTATCTCAGTTATTTACAGATAATAATAATATATTTTATTTGTAAAGCACTTTTCATAGTTAAAAACAATCCCAAAGTGCTACAGAGTATAAACAAAGATAAAAACCAGGTAGAAAAATTAAAAAGTTAGCAAGAGGTAAAAAATGCTTGCTTAAAAAGCAGGGTTTTTAGTCCTTTCTTAAAAGAGTCTATGGCTTGAGGAGCCCTTAGGTTTTCTGGAAGGGAATTCCAAAGACGCGGTGCGGCTGAGCAGAAGGCACGATCCCCCATAGTACGGAGCTTAGTTCTCGGTGGTTGAAGAAGGACCTTGTTTCCAGAGCGGAGATTACGTGAAGAGTTTTGCTTTGTGAGTAGTTCCTTTAAGTAGGGGGAGCGTTGCCGTGGATGCATTGATGTGTAAGTAGGATGATTTTATAGTTAATCCTGTATGAGACAGGAAGCCAGTGAAGAGAGTGAAGGATGGGAGTGATATGTTCAATTTTTCTTTTCCTCATTAAGATCCTTGCAGCACTGTTCTGAATGTATTGTAATTTTTGAAGGCTTTTGCCAGGAATCCCAAAGAGGAGAGAGTTGCAGTAGTCCAGCCTCGATGATACAAAAGCATGGACAAGTTTTTCAGCATCTGACAGACCAAGTGTGGGACGGAGTTTAGCAATGTTCCTGAGGTGATAGAAGGAGGTTTTACACAGATGTTTTATGTGGGCGTCAAATGTGAGTTGAGCATCAAATCTTACGCCCAGGTTTAAGACTGTTGATGATAGACGAATGTTTTGACCAGAGAAGGTAATGTGGGTTATGGGTGATGACTGGACCTGATGTGGTGTACCAACTAAAATAGCTTCTGTCTTGGAGCTATTTAGTTGTAGAAAGTTTGCCTTCATCCATGCCTCAATCTCCTCAAGGCAGGAGCTCAAAGATGCCAGAGTGGCTTTAGATGGGATGAGGTTAGTTTTTATATATAGCTGAGTGTCATCGGCATAGCAATGAAATGATATTCCATGTCTGTCGATGATGTGGCCAAGGGGCAGAGTATAGATGATGAACAAAATTGGGCCGAGAACGGACCCTTGAGGAACACCGCAAGTGACTGTATGCGTCTGAGACTTTACACCTCCTATGGAAACATACTCTGTTCTTCCAGACAGGTAGGACTGGAACCAGCTCAAGGCAGTGTCAGAGAGTCGAATAGTATGATGGAGACGCTGAAGGAGAATATTGTGATCAACCGTATCAAAAGCTGCAGAAAGATCCAGTAAGATGAGAAGCGATGGTGTGCCGGTGTCGGCCGCCATCAACAGGTCATTTGTGACCCTGATCAGGGCTGTTTCGGAGCTGTGAGCGGAACGGAAACCGGACTGAAATTTTTCAAAAAGGAAATTTGAATTTAGATGATCCTGAAGATGGGCAGCAACAACTTTTTCTAAAACTTTGGACAGGAATGGAAGGTTGGAAATAGGCCTGTAGTTAGCAAGAACTTCAGGGTCTAAAGTGGGTTTTTTTAGAAGGGGTTTGATGACAGCAGTTTTTAGAGCAGATGGAACATGACCAGTGCATAAAGAATGGTTGATGACTTTGGTTATTAAAGGACTAAGAGAGCTGATGTGTGTTTTCACTTGGGCTGTAGGCAAAGGATCCAGCATGCAGGTGGAAGCCTTCATCCTGCTGATGATGTCCTCAACTTGTTGTT